TAAAACATCCAATAGTGGAGCAATTTACAAGAAAAACGCGTTTAAAATGTTATGTTAGTATATTATGCGCTGTCGTAACGTTCATCTGTTCATACGGTTCCCGACGGAGGTAAATTTACTTAGATGTTCAGAAATTACTTACAATCAGCAATAGTATGCCCAAAAATTTTAGCTTGTTTTGTGAAATATATAGAATAAAACACATTTTTGTGTAGATATTTATATTTAGATGTAATAGGTTTGACCCTTGACATTAAGACACAAATACACTCACAAAAGGCGTAGCGTAATAATGGGGCAAATGTCACCCATTGCCATTAGAATTTGGAAGGTTACGAACACATAATAAGTTTTTATGCTCGACGCTAAAAGAAAAATCTTATTTATAGCAAAACATTTGAACAGGTGAATGAAAACTTTCTTTCACCTGTTTAAATATTTTGCTATACATCTACTCGTAGCACGTTAATTGATTTCTCAACTCTAAACTATAACAAATATAGTTTCCAACTTATAATACTGGTTACACTTCAATTTATTAATCCGAAATAGTATTGAAAATATTACATAACTTTCTTATATATTTCTGAATGGAGCCTTTCATTTCTTGACATACCTAATTAAATCCTCAAATACGTGGTAGGGTTCCAAACCCCGTACATCAATAATACTGATCCTATATTGAATGGAATTATCACAAAATATAACAAAGTTTCAAACATTTTTACTATCAATTCGACCACAATTTAAACTTAAACTACACCACAATTAAATTATATTACATATTTTTTTGCCTAATCTATAAAATAAGCTAAATTAAATTATTGACGGCGATAATAATTATCCCATAAATGGTGAGGAGTGCGCTATTTATGGGATAATTAGAGCGTTTATCTATAGAATCCCTTGAACCTCTATTTACAAATATTCATCAGAAGCAAGTTGGATATAAAATATGTGAATTCTATAAAATATTAAAAAGCCAGAACGATAGAAGAAATAGCTTCTTTGAGCACTACTAGAATGAATACTAGCTCATAGTAATTTACCTTATCAAGTTCTGAAAATTACTAAAACTTTAGGTTTAAGGTTAGTTTGATCATAAACTTCTGTAGAGTATTGAAGTCCGAGTCCATAAAATGCTGAATTATTCATCTATATGTCCCAGAGTGGGAGGTGTATCTGAGAAAGCAAATCCATGATGTGATACTGAGAAGTCAATGTGCGTCCTGTGTAGTTAATAGGTTCATTGATTGATACTATTATCAATCAACATCTCGTAGGAGGTTCTTTTCAAAGGTTGTTTTAAATACTGTTCGTTTCTTGACAAATTATATTTCGTAAAGTGAACGTTACTGCAAACCTATTTTGTATAACAATAAATATGGCAACCATTTTCCCATTTACAGGATCGCTCTACATATACCATTTCTTAGTTAAATCAACTTTTTCAAACTTTAATAGTAGTTTGCTTTTAGATTCCACTGCTACTTTTAGCGTACACGACCTTGCTCTTACTTTGCCTCTAAAAACTAACTTCCTGTCTTAGTAACGTAATTATCTAAGTCTTTTCATATTTCACAAAGGAATTCATCTACGAATGATCGAATGTTGATAATAGGCATTAAGCGTATCATGTAAAAACTATCGTGAATGTGGGCATGTGTTTTCTTCATAGATATTCAAAAATCATTCAACAGACACATGTAAGCTACACATGAACTGAGTGAACAAGTAACAGCAAAGGTGATCATCTGTTGTTCAATGGTCTATGTTAGCTTAGCCATTGTGTACCAACGCTATCTTATCAGAGAATTTCTCGTGTCGTCGAAGTGATATCGCAAACACGATTCGTTCACCTCATTAACAAAACATTTATGAGATATTATTAACACATAGAATCGCCATTAATGGTAACACATTGAACACTTATATTAGATACCACTCCGAAAGGAAAAGTGTGAAATTCTCTGTTGCCCTAAGAACTATTGCACAGATGCCTGCTCAAATTAAGTAGACATATAATTGCATATAATTTGAAAATCTATTGACATCACCAAACTTTGTGTCATTAACTTTCTTGATAGTTTCAAGAAACAGAGAAAAAAATTAACGCACTAATATTGTACAGCTTAGTTTCTTTGTTGATTTTGATCGAGCTAATCTCAAGATCTGACCTACCGATAAAAATATTTATGCGTATCAATCAAGTTGATAAAAAACAAGTACTTGGAACAAAGTACATAATCTAAATTTAAAAAAGGTGCCACAGAGACACACCTTGTTATTTTATATAAAAAAAAAAATTATAAACAATCTTTAATCTCTGTAGGCAGGAAGGCGTAACTACAGCATCGTCCAACCTAAAAACCTCGCTAATGTTTGCATTGCGAACTCCTCTATATTGTCAAATTCTATAATGTAATTTTGTCTTTCGTTTAACATATACACAAAAACGCAAACATAATACAAAAAGTCGTATAAAGTTAAATATAGATTAATTGCATATCACGAACTTTTATTTGTTGGCAGCCCCGGACAAAGTCTGAACCCATTTTCTCCTAGCGTGAAGTCGTCACATCGCTAACGTAATAGTTTTCAATGCGACCTCGGCTTTGTAAACAAACATCAAATTAATGTTTTAGCAACTCGTGAATCATCGTCATCGCTCCGAAATTACAATTTGTTACTTACGTATATAAATTGAACGAAGCGGAGTGAAGGTAGTCTGTAATCGGAAGAGCTGGGAGAAGGACGTATTTCGCGCTGGATTGATACAATACCGTCTAGGAAGTGTGTGCGAATAATCAGACGTTTATTGCGCTTCGGTCAAACAAATCGAGCTAAGAGTCAATATCGCTTTGTGACTGTGTTTTTTGTGTCGTGCTTAATGTGAAAGTGGTTGACTTTCTATTCGATAGCGTGTTATCCTAACTTGATCTTTGCTTCAATTTATCATGTAAGTGATAAAACGAACTTTAAAATTTACATTTATTTTAAAATAGACTACGAATTACTCTGCAACGATTGAAATTACTTAGTCATTTTTAAAACACAATGTTTCACTACACACAAGTTCATAATCTTAGAAGCTTTTTAAAATAACAACTAATTAAATGAGTACAATACAAACTCAACATAGTGTATTATAAGTGGACCTATAACATAGATGTGCAAAAACCAGGAAAGTAAGGAAATAAAAATTGAATGTCAAACCCTACCAACTGCATACTTTTATGCATGTGTGTATAGTGCCTTGATGACATTTCGAATTATAAAGAACATGGCAGAGTTTGATTCTAGTACTTTTTGGCATTACTCGCAAGATAAATAATTAAATATGATTAGTTACGTATTCTGATTATAATTTAGAGTTGTGTTGCTAAATAAGTACTGTGTGTGTACATACATATAATTATTTATAGGAAAGAGGAAGGAAGGAATTTATGGGAACTTTATATTCGGAACATTTCATCAGCTATAGTCTTTATTTAAATATTTTTACCCTAACGAAAGTTGAATATAAAATAAAGGTTTCCGTACTATAAAGTGCAAACTTAACATACATTTGCCGTTCTTCTATACAGTTACCATGTTTTTCACTTGAATTTAATCCTCTTAAAGGTTTTATGTCAATTTAAAAGATAAAGAAAACTATTTTCTGTATTTTTTTCAAGATTTTGGTGTCAGTAGTTTTAGTTATAAATTTTTATTCCCTTAATTTCTATCGATGTTTTTCTTAAGTAACGTATGGTTTTAAAATTAATATTTAGGATATTAATCTTAAAATGATAAAAATATATTTAATATCTAGTGACTTTTATATTTAAAATTTCTTTGTTTTCGTCACAGCGGATTCGGCGCAAATTGGCTTTGACAGACTGACACATGATTAATTCTATAAAGATGGTATGTTGTCATTCGAACGAACGAATGAAAAACAAGCAGCTGTACTGTATCCGATAATTTCTGTTTTATCGTCTGACCACTAGATGGAGCTCTTTAAAGAAAAACCATTCTATCTTCCAAAAGTTAAAGAACTAGCAACAAACTCTTATTATCTGTATGTATAAGTAACGAAGTAGCTCTGATACAAAGAACAACCTTGTATTACATGTGTGAAGTCATGACGCCAGACTAACAGATGGACAAAACGCAGATAAGATTTCACTAGAACAATGCCTGTACATCTATATCCTTGCTTAATATTATAAGTGCGAAAGTGTGTCTGTCGGTCTGTCTGTATGTTACCTCAGATGTACTTGTTTCGATGAAATTTGGCACAGATATAGCTTGAGTCCCGGGAAGGGACATAGGACAGTTTTTATCCCATAAATCATCCTTTAAGGGGGTGAAAGTTTGAATAGGCGATCAATAACCGCTGAACCGATTTAGATAAAATTTAGTACGGAGATAGTTTGATTCTTGATTAAGGAAATAAGCTTAACAGGAAATACTTTTTACCGCGGTGACCGACATACACGCGAGTGAAGCCGCGAGCAAAAGCTAGTAATCACATATAAACATTTATCGTTATACTACTTTAGACTCTTATAGAATAGGCTATAGATAAGATTGTATCACGTGACTATTCCGTTAGCATATTTACATGTGTTTATATATACCTACTTATGTAGATGGAAATAAATAATTATACTATTAAATACATTTACGTTTTAAACTTTAAGCCAAGCCATAAATGTCTGTTTGTGTACTTTAAATGAACCCACACATACACAAAACTACACGAATCAATAGAGTTCAAACAACTGTAAAAATCACAATTTTCACCTATTTTTTCATTGTTCTGGTCACAACAACGTTATGTTAACACATTGTTAGGTTACTAAAAGCATTTCAATAAAAGAATTTTTAAAACCATTGTTTTCCACTACTGTTATTTTGTAAACGTGATTGGCCTCGTGTTTCGAGAAAATTTCATAATTGATGTAATAATATTACTCGCTTAAGAAATAACATTTTTCTTCTCTTATTTTCAGAGTTCGCTACGAGATGGGGGCGAGGTCCCGGGAGTTGGTACTGCTCCTGGCAGTGTGCGCATTGGCACTCAGTGAGCCTGTTAACAAAGCGGCCGATAGCAAGAAAGAAGATGCTGAGGCCTTAATGTTCCCGTACGATGACTTCGATGCTGGTGATGACCAGGAAGTTCTCTACAATGAGAATAGACCGTGTCCGAGAGACTGCATCTGCACTGTATCTCAAGGATATAGAACAGCCAAGTGTGATCGTCTTGAAATCGGAACACAAAAGTTTGGGGATGACATCACAGACCTAGTTATCGAAAATGCTGATCCTAAGTATCCTATTCAGCTAACAGATTTTATTTTCAAGAAACTCGGCCTTCATCAAGTTACTACTGTGAAGATTGTTAACAGCTCGATCGACTTTATTGGACCTAACGCCTTTCACGGTCTTCCTAACTTGTACGCCGTCAATTTATCTAATGATAAGCTGAAGATCTTACATCCTGAAACATTCGCTCATAACAAAAAATTGTTACTGCTTACTCTCTCAAACAATCCTTTGAAGTTCCCTGCAGCTAATTCACATGATTACTTCTTAAACACTTCATCTGTACAAGAACTTGACATTTCTTATTGTGACATGAAATACATTACATCTAATACTTTCGGCAACATGCCTGGTCTAATGTACCTAAACTTGGCTGGTAACAACCTCTCTGACATGGATCCCGACACATTCAAGAAGTTACTGGATTTGGAAGAACTTGACCTAAGTGATAATAATATAAAATCTTTACCGGAGGACATTTTTTCTGAAAACAACGAACTCGCTACTCTTCATATTTCAAGAAATCCAGTAGATACAGTCTACGGATTACAGATTTCAGATTTGTTAACTCTTAACGCGGGACAAACTAACATTAAATTTGTTGGTCCATCTATGTTCAACGGTATGACATATATTGCAAATCTGAACCTGAGCGGGAACAACATTGAGAAAATCCATAACCAGGCTTTCCACCGACTTGTCGAACTGAACTACCTTGACCTTTCCTACAATGACTTAGACTTCATCTCTAACATTCTAATCAAAGAAAATATTGAACTAGATATTTTCAAAATCTCAAATAATCCTAGATTAAAACAGTTGCCAGCGGAGGGATTCCAGTGCTCCGTGGACCAATTTAATATCTATTTATTCGATGCCTCCAATTGCGGCTTGCAAGTAATTTACGATGATTCATTAAAAACTTTTTCAGCTCTATCAGTTGTCAATTTATCGAATAATGAAATTAAAACCATCGGAACCAAGGTATTTACTGTGTGCCCTAAGCTTGTAGAGATCAATCTGTCGTATAATCAGTTGACAACGTTAGACGCTAAAGTTTTTGAAAAGAATAAGGAATTGGGTAAATTATACCTCCAAGGCAATCCTTTAAAAGTGCTATCAGCTGAAGTATTCCTGCATACTCCGATGATCACTTATTTGGACATGAGTCATGCTGAACTGACATCACTATGGAAGGCAGATAAAAACCGCTCGGCAACTCTGCTCAGTAATCTGACATTCCTCAATGTTTCACACAATCGTATTACTGAGATTAAACAAACCGAACTTGATCACTTAGTCAAACTAAACACTCTCGATATCAGCAACAATCCACTGGCATGCAGTCGTGACTTTGAAAATCTTATGACCTGGTTGAGCAACCGCAAAGTATCACCAAATGCTGGCGGAAGCAGTAGCATTGCCAATCTAGCATGGGACAAAAAGGATGATGACATTCCAACTTACAGTTGGGACTTTTTGACTCGCAAGACTTGTGGAACTGCCCTGCCACATCCAGTTGAACCTTTATCACCCGTATCCGATGAAGAGATCTGGGAAAGAATCGACAAGGATATAGATGGTAACTTCGACCTGAAGAATACTTTGGATGATGGAAAAATTGCTACATTCTTGGACGACACACCAGATGAGGGTGACGCACAAGGTGACGTTGATGATGATAACCAAGATGAAGAAGATGACGAGGATGATGACGGCGAAGAATATGACGATGATGAAGATGACGTCGACCTAAAAGTGAAACTCATTGAGAAACAAACGACGACTGCACCGAAAATCAACAAAACGATTAATCCAAACGAAAATTCTGTTAAGATTAATATACAGTTACTGGAAGACGAGGATGTCAACGAGGAAGCATCAAATACCTTGTACATGCAAGAAACCATTGAAAGTGAAGATCACGGTCGCTATGAATATTTGTGGCCAATTGCTATCGCTATCTTAGGTACATTACTTCTCCTTATCGTGATCGCAAAGGTGGTAATGATGTTATGCACAAAGAGAACAAAGCAAATCAGATACAACAGTGCCATAATCGCCGCTATGAGCCAACCCGGCCGCACGAAGAAGGACTGCGGGCTGGTATACCAGCAGCTAACAGAGGACTTGACAAGCCCTGCGACGCCAAAGCTTAGTCGCTACACGCCTCTTCACACCGTATCCGTGAACGCGTCCAACATGTCGTACGAAAGCAGTCCTTTCCATCACAACAATATCGTGCCAGAAGCGGTCTGAATCGCAGAACAAATCGTACATATCAGAGTTAAAACTCTATACTAACAACTGCGTTAATTCTTACATACGCTGTAAGTGATAGTTGTAAGCGCTAGTCACAGCCGAATACATATCTAACAAACATTTCTTAGTACAGTGCCTTTATGTCCACTCGAACAATCGCGACCAATGTTTTTCAATCTAGCGCTTTTGAATATAAAGTAACAAATGGAAGTCAAATTACAACAAATTAATTTAAGATTATACATATTATTATATATTATACAAATTAGTTGATAGGTTTATTTTATGTACTTAAAATTATTAAAAATTAAATACTAATTATTGTAGTTTCCTTTTTTCTTCTCTATTCTTCTAAAGTCATAAGAGATAAAGATACTCGCTAGAGATTTTTATATCGACAATTTTTATTGAAATAAGTCAAGTCTGTAAAATGTAGACAATACTACTTTCCGACAATTATGGTTAATTTTAAACAAGGGAAAAGCGAAAAATATAATGCGGTAAGTTAGATTTTTTTTAACCCTGATGCAAAAAACGAATGTAAGAAATTTGACGTTTTCATAGCTGATGGGATCAAGCTGCCCATGTGTTTGGAGACCAACAGCATTTCCTACTAGATGAAAGTTTATTACCAATTTTTACTCGTCTCACTGAAGAATTATTTCGTGTACTGTTATTTCATACCAAAAAGTATCAACGCGAACGTAGAGTGTGAGTCACGTCATCGTTTTTTTGTATGCTTTTTAGGAGTTAGTGTGTCAGGGCGTTTTAATTTTTTTCATTTAATTTTCATAGCTAGAAAAACCTTAAAATGTCTTAAAAGAAATTGCGTTAATATTTTGATTAATGAGTTCTATTCGATTAACTAGAAAATACGCAATATACAGATATAAATTTATAAGTCTTTTCAAATGTAATATTATAAATAGGGATGGAAGATTAACAATTGTCAGGTCTGAGAGCATGATAAAGTTCGTTAAAGGAGCCACTATGTTGCTACGTCTGTTTAACTTTCACTTGTGCAAAATAAGGCTATAATTACTTTGACTTTCTACCCCGATAGTCCTCGAAAAAAGTTCATTAGCATTTCGTCTGCAGGCCTCAACAGTTATGGCGGCAATATGCAGACAAGAAATCGCATGAAAAGAAATACTAAGCAGGCGCCGGACTTTATTGAATCCAAAAATAACCTTTCAAGGAATAATAGATGGCGCTCATTTCAAAATATTGTTTAACCTAACAAAGGTAGAAAATTTACTTAGTGTTTGGTGTGAGATAGCTCTAATTCGTAAGTTTGTGGACTTAATAGAAAGAATGCAAAGGGGCTTTAGTCCGATCATAAGAATAAGTTTATTACAGACCATATAGGCAGAGCACTTTGGAATAATCTTTAAAATACACGAACTCAAATCGGAAAGTGCCCTATTCGCTATGCCTAAACAATCTTGGCTATATTAATTTTGTTTGTAGTGACTTAAGACGATCTCGGATTTGCAGGAGCTGCTAAAGAAGTCCTAACTACACTATCTGAAAAGGACAACGACAAACCAATATTTACAAATCACATCATATTGCCTTATTATCAGATAATACATTATTAAATATTATATTATAAATTATCTTACACAGACCTTTAATACCGCGCCTGCTCTGACAGACATGGTCTTATACGCAAAAAAGGACTAAATATTTGCAGACAGTGCTTCAGGGCATATGCCCATGACATTGGTTTCAAAAGCTGGGCTAAAATGTTAAGCCAATAATAAATCGATATACCTTTACTAGGGTATTTTAATAAACAGTTCTGGGATAAAGGCACAGGGATATTTTGTGCGAATACAGAAATAACTTGTTTCTTTACACATGCCATTAACGATAAATACGCGATAACCCACTTATTTATTTTCCGAACGAGAATATGGCAAAGGAACAGGTCATGCTTGAATGTCCTATTGTTAATAGTAGGAACAAATACAAATAATAATTTACTTTTTGTGTAACAATGAGTTTACCGTAAATGCAAAACTATTTTCCTACTCATACCTACGCATTCATTAATGCCTTAAATAATACGGAGGTAAGATGTGTTCTAGTCTGTATTCATAACCATTATGCTTACGAAAGAATCATATTTTAAGAAGACATGTGTGGCGACTGCCACATACAAAGAAACAGCGCCATCTAACGAAGACACACCGAGCTACGGAGTAACTACTGAATGCGAATTGCTAATCCTGTATCGCGGTATGAAGAATACTTTCGCAGATTAGCATATATACAACTTCCCAACATCAGTTGGAGGGACATGACACATGTAAATAAAATGATTAATTTATATTAATGTGTATTTAACACAATTTCCAATTTCATATAATTTCATTAATCATAATCGTTAATATAATTTCAATTACATATTTAAAACGTCCGTGTGGTGACGGATTAAGAATACGGAATGTCACCACCCCTATTCATCCCGTGAGTGTCGTAAGAGCCGACTAAGGGAATAAACTGTAGGACAACAGCACTGCAAAAAGAAGGAAAACTTGAAACAAACCCTTTTTTTTTTAACGTGTGAAATCCCCTCGGACCGTCACCCCACCGGGGTTTGCGGCGGGGTGGTGTGTCGGACTCGGACCGACTAAAACCACACGGTGTGCCACTCTGCGCCTGTAATAGGAGGGATCCGGGAACAGCTGTTATTAAGACATCCGGACCCCTCCTAGCGCCTGCCCGCTCCTGGTGCTGGCTCCGTCTCAAAATTTTAACCTCTCTTTAGGCGACGTCCGGCACACGCGGACGCCGCCCCCTCGCGGCTGGCCAAACTAATGCAGGTTGAGGGGAAACCCACTCCGTCCACCCGCGGCCACACTCAGGGCGGCATGAGGAGCAGGAAAGCGCGCCTCCGCCGCCCGGTTCGCTGGCAGCGGATCGGGTCCGAGTGGAGGTCGTCCTTCCGGGCTGTAACCAGAGTATCATCTGCGTAACAAATTGCACCCAGCCCGGGGGGAAAATCGGCTCGAAGGGCCCAGTCGTACCCTATGTTCCACAGGAGGGGTCCAAAAACAGACCCCTGTGGAACACCGCACGACATGGGCCGACACCTCAAATTACCATCTCGGTCCTCGTACACGACGGTACGCTCCTCTAAATAGTCTGCCACTAGCCGCCTCAGGTACTTTGGCACCCCATGATAGTGGAGTGCTTCCCTGATGCAGCTGAATGGCAGACTATTGAATGCGTTGGCGATGTCTAATGACACCGCCAACAGCACGCCGCCACAGCTCACGGCCTCTTCGGTCACGGCCCTCAGGCGCAAAACAGCGTCGACTGTCGAACGCCCCGCCCGAAAACCAAATTGGGCGTCCGACAGATCGGGGCCCACCTCGTAGAGGTGCCGGACGATGCGGTCAGAGAGAACCCTCTCAAACAATTTACCCGCCTCGTCCAGCAGCACGATGGGCCTGTAGGCCGCGACCGAATCGGCAGGCCGTCCCGGCTTCCTAAATACGACCAGCTTCCCGCTCTTCCAGCACTCAGGGAAACGTCCCGACGCCAAGCTAGCGTCGAACACCTCCCCGAGGCGGTCTGCCATGTGGTTGAGGGCTAGGGCCAGCACTCGGGCCGGTACCCCGTCTGGCCCAGGGGCGGTGTTCTTGGAACGGATCCGTAGAACAGCCGCCCCTACCTCCGAATCCCGGACGGGCGGAACATCATCCCCCTCGTGTTCCCCGTCGTCTCCGGCCAAGGAGGCCATCGCCGGGGGAGTGTGCTCCGCCCGCTGCGGCAAAAGGCCCTCAACCACTTCCTGCAGGAAGCTGGGCTGGAGAGTCTCCGTAAGGGGGGGGGCCCGACGCGCGGAGCTTTTGTCGCACCGCGCGATAAGGGCGACCCCAGGGGTCACGATCGAGACCCTCCAGCATCTCCTTTCTCTTTATCTCTTTGGCGCGGCTAATGGCCAGCTTCAGAGTTTTCCGCGCCTCTCGGTACTCCTCATGAAGCCGGTCCTCCTCATCGTCTCCACGGTGACGCCGCCGACTGCGCGTGTAGGACCTCCGTGCACGTGTACAGGCCGCACGGAGGTCCGCCAGCTCCTGGGACCACCAGTAGACCTCCTTCCTTGGAGGCCGACGACCTCGAATGCGGGGCATGGCCGCATCGCAGACATGCGTAATCGCATCGCGAAAGCGACCAGCCCCCACGTCGACCTCCTCGGTCGGAGCCTAAGGAGACAGCCACGAGTGAATTATGGCTGCCTCCTCTAGTAGGTCCCGGTTCAGTCTGGCAACAGCCCACCGCGGAAAGCGGGATAAACGCCGCGCCACGTGACCCCTACTGGAGTCCTGGGTCCGGGAGAGCTCAAATCGGATATAGAGATGATCCGAGAGCGTCTCAACCTCTTCCAGGACACGCCAGTTCCTTACTCGTGCAGCGAGGGCAGGGGTAGCGAACGAAAGGTCCACTATCGACCCCCCCTGCTGTCGCACGCACGTGTTTGTGGAGCCTCTGTTGAGAAGACAGAGGCCCACCGAGGCCGCCCACTCCTCTACGGCCTCGCCCCTTGCGTCCGTCCCGGGGGAACCCCACGCAGTGGATTTTGCGTTAAAGTCCCCCAGAACAAGGACGTGCCCAGACGCTAGTCGCCGCATCGAGGTCTCCAGGTTGTTGAGGAAAACCTCGTAGTCGCTCAAACTCCGGTTGGGGGAGAAATAAACACCATATATGGTGATCCCCCCCCACTCGGCGGCAACATATCCAGTGCCCTTGTCTCTTAGCAACAAGGGCGGAGAATGAGCCGCCGTGGAGCCGACGACTGCCACGGAGCCGTCCCGGTCACCCATCCCGTTTGGACGGGGAGGGACAAAATAGGGCTCCGCGACTACGGCAACACCTATAGACCACTGTGCCATGGTTTGCAGGAAGAGATCCTGCGCCGCAGCACAGTGGTTCAGATTCGTCTGGACCAGGAGGTTGGAGACTTGATCCATTACTGGATTGTCTCTACAACCTCCTCCATGGGCGTCGGCGTCGACGCAATATTGACGTCGGGGGTAGCCTGGGTCGACTGGCTAGCCCCTGACGTCTGCCGAGAACTGCGGGGAGGCTTGCAGCCTCTCTGCCCCATCTGGTGATTGGCGGGCTTATTGCCCGCCGCACACGCTGGGCAGTGAGGGGCGGCAGAGCATTCTGCCGCCTTATGCCCCGGTTGACCGCAGCGGAAACACAGTCCGCCGCAGTCAAAGCAGCTATCGCACTTGACGCGCGTGTGTACCGATGCTAGGCATTTGTAAAACCGCATCGGTCTCGCCGCCAGGACTGTGATCCTAGCGCTCACGAAACCGATGAGCAGCCTGCCGGCGTCGGCCAATACTTTGGCCAACGCTACGCTAGTCACAGAGTCGTCCAGGCCCGAGATGCGCAGCTCCGCGCACTTGGTAGGCCTGGCGATCTTGACACCATCTGTGCTCGCGAATATACCCCGCAGCCTCTCAGCAAACGTGTCCACCGTCTTAGCGCCGTCAGCCCCAGAGGGGAGCTCGAGTTCTCGAGTTCCCGAGAACTCGAGCTCCCGTCTGGGCGAGGCGCATTCTGACCCCCACCATCCCAAAATCATCGGCGAGGCTGTCCCGGGCCTTTTTAAAGACGGCCGCGTAGGACAGCCCGCCGTCAGCCGCCTCCGGGGACACGGTCACCACTACAGCCGCGGTTTTGGGCGGCTGCAGCTTCCGCGGCCTCTTTGTAGAGGCCGTTGCCACCGATGGCGAAGGCTGGGCTTGGGCTGCTTTTTGGGCAGCGCTTCTGGCCCGCCTTCGGGACTTCTTGGAGCCCCTCGCCTCCTGCCAACCCTCGTTGGAGGGGGCAGGTGCGGAGGGGCCCGGCAGGGGTGTCGGAGTGGGGAGCGGAGGGAATGCCACTCCACTCCTCGGTGCCGTTTTAGGCCCCGTCTTGGCCGGCACTTTGGCCTGCGCCTTGACCGGCGCCTGGGGGGGTGCCTTGGCCGGCGCCTGGGCCGGTGCCTTGGCCGGCTTTTGGGGAGCCGATGGAGTCGGGGCAGACGCCGCCGCCGCGTAAGAGACGCGGCCTCCCACCACAGGGAGCGCGGTCGGAGCGGCGGCCTTAGCCCGCTGTGCCGACGCGAGCGGGAGGCGCACAACCGGCGCAGGGGGCAGTCTCGCCTCCAGGCCAGCCAGGCGTCCGTCCAGCGTATTCCCAACTGCGATGAGGATTTCACGCAGTTGGGAGTCAAGTGCCCCTGAGTTGGTGGTAGGGGCAGGCTGGGACGCGGACGGGGCTTCCCGCTCGGGGAGATTCGCCTGGAAGCGGGCGAACTGAGCGCTCAGCTCGTTCACCCGCTCCGTCAGCCTCTCGTTGGCCACCTGTAGGCGAGAGACATCGCCCACTAGGCCCTCCACGACCTCCGACAAAGCGGAGGAGGAGTCCTTGAGGGCCCTCACAAACGAGCCCTTAAGGTTAACGGACTTGGTGGCCACCTTGTGGATGACGGCCACCGCCGCTTTCGCCCTCTCCTGCACGGACACGGGAGCCTGGGGGGCATTTCCCCCCACCGGCTCCCGAATCTTGAGCAGGAGATCCGCAATCTCCTCCTCCGCTACGGCCTCGCCGTCCACTCGTACACTTCTGTACGACTCCGCGTTTGCGAACGCGGAGCCTGACGGGGTCAAGACCGAGGCCGAGGCCGGTTTTCGTGGCCTCCCTCGACGGCTGCTTGCCACTTTTGGTGGCATCATTTCCTGGGACGTGTCGGTCTCCTCGTCCCTGGAGCGTCCGCGTTTCCGGCTGTCGCATCGCTCCGCCTCCATGGCCTCCGCGCCATCCGACGAAACGGCGGACCCGGAACGCAGCCGATCCGATGCTCTTCGGCTCCCAGAGACCAGAGTCAGTCTGACTTCTGGGAGCCCCACCGAGATAGGCGTTCCCGACACCATCTCGCCCTCAGTGGACGACCCATCCACTCCACTGTTCCTCTTCCCCCTTCTTCCCTTTGCTTCCTTGTCCGTTAGGCTTGCCTTTTTCTTTTGTGTGTTTGTTTCCGATCGTTTGTCTATATTTTTAACATGTTCCATAATAATCCCACGAGTGGGGGAGAACTAAAGGTCCACCCGGGCAGAGATCCCCCATTACCCGGGCAAGCGTAAGTTTTTAACCCAACCGAGGGGCCCGCAGGTACCTCGGCTTGGAGTGCGCTCGAGACTGAACTTCCCATCAGCCATGCATCCCCTGGCCACGCACCAGAACACGGGATTCGGGGATTTTTTTAGAGAGGTTGTCTTCCTCGCGGTCCGGGCGGTTAAGTCAAGACCCTCGCCCCCGATCAGAGCCGCGAGACTTGACCACAGCGCTCTTCTCGGGATTACGATATGCCGACGGTTGACAGGGAGACTACGTCCCCCTGCCTGCTCGGTGGTAGTGTCAGTACACGCCGAGCCCGTCCTCCTTCCTCCACCGCTGGCAGCGGAGAAACTGTGGCCCCTACAGGGCCCCGCCATCCGGTTTTTTACCGAGGTTTCCTCCTCCATGCTCCGAAGAGCGAAGAGCGAGCAGGGCAACCGGCAGATACGCCCACCCTGCTGGACCAGGCCTTGCCCGAGAGCCGTTGAACGGCTTCCTCTTCTGCTAGAATATTAGCCGCTGGCGGTAATCCTCTCCTCCAAGTGGACAAGGAGGAAACAGTGCCATCGCCAGCGTTTCCAGGGTGCACCACGGGGAGGTTTTCTAGCCTAGCACCCCAAACTTGAAACAAACCCTATACCAAGCGTGGTATAGTAGGCCAAAACCTCCTTTCTAAGGAGATGCCTAAGTCCAGCAGTGGACTATTATAGGCTGTTGATGAACACAATAAACAAATCAATTTATTTTAAAAGTAGTCGCCATAATCAATATAGCGCTAAAAAGGATCGAATCTTATACAACAAACCTCATTCAGAATTTTCTTTTAATTTCAAACACCATTGCCGTGATGCAAAGTTTTTTTAAAGGTAAATTATTGGTGCGGTTTAAAATTGGAAAAAGATTTGGCAACGGCTATTTTCATTACTTCCTTCTACTAATCCGGCTAAAAGATGCTCATTTAATTTAATTGCCCAGGACCTAATGCAAATAAATAATCATACGTACTTCTTAAAAAAATCTAAAATGGTAAAAATGTACCTACGTCGCTAACCCTAAAGTAATTTTATTGCGATATCGGTGATAAATTCAGACTCAGTAATCAATCAATAAGTGAACTACTTTTTCCACTTGCAGTAATTCGACACAGGTAATGATTACCTACCTAATTTTATTTAAAGAATAGATTTATTTCACTTATTAAATTTGGAGTACAATACATTTTTTGAATTAGATGGGTTAAATAAATGTGTTTAAATCGTGATGATTGTGTGATGCTTCACTTTTTAATTTTTCACCCTGTGCGTGTTTTTCACCACCTGGGTGGTTTTTTTACCCTTCAAATTTGAACTGGACTAAATGGGAAGTCAATTATCAATTGAAAAAATAATTTTCCAAATGGGTTCATAAATTACTGAGTTCTGTTTTAAAAACATACAATCGAATTGAGCACCGTATGTACTCGGCACATTCTAATGTGTAAAAAAGGTTTTCTCTAAAATATAAAATTAAGGCACATCTCAAGAGCTAAATAAAACGTAAATTAAATTTACTTTGTAGATTTTTATTATTACTCTTTTACTAATATATTAAATATTCCTAAAATTTACAATTATTACGACAGGTATATCTATATATTTGTAGTGGTAATTTATTTCATGCACAAAGTGTTTAAACTATTACATATTCTCATAACCTTTCTCCTAGACTTCTTAGGCATTTTTATTATCTATTATAATAGTTTATTTGAATATGACACCTAAGTTATATTGGTATCCTGTTTTAGCAAATTCAAAAGTTGAATTTGGAATAATAAATTATTTCCCATATTCCCATAATAGCCGAAGCGTCGACTAATAAACAAATAGTTGCAGGTTCGAATCCCACCGAGTGCACCCTTATCCCAAGCATGTAGCTGAGCTAGAGAAATTAACGAGAATATAGCGTGATTTACATTTTTAGTATGAAAAAAGGGTTAGGTATACTTAGTCACAAGTTTTTTCGTGTTTCTGTATCACGGTGAAATAATCATTTTTTGTTTTGTTTTATGCGTGATAAAGTTCTGTCTTCGTTGTTGCTTTGAAGTAAATTATTCGTTGGTTTGTATATCATTACTACAAGAATTTTATTCACCGGCTACATTTTTCATTAAAATTAGTAAATGGTAAGTGAATCTTCAAAAAGTTTCGATATATCCTCTTCAGACTGCCGGATAGGCGACAACCCCAACAGTCGTTGCTGAAATAAAGATTGTAATACGTCAATAGTTTGGAGTCAGTAACAAATATCCGCACTTGCTAGTACAGGTCAAGATGAGGAGTAGACATCTTAATAATTCTCTTAAGTTGTCTATTATTCCTTCCTATCCATCCCTTATATACCTGTAGAATAATTTAAACGTAAATTTATCAATATAGTCTCCGGCAGAAACCTTTTGTTACTGAAGGGCTGTTTTAAAAGAAACAGTACCCAAAAAACCTCTGTTTATCTGTGTGTGTATGTGTTTTTATTACACATACACACACAGATAATAATTAAACACAACGATCCATCTAGATAAAATCCAATCAGCAACCTGTCACCCAAAATAGATTGGCTAAATAAAATAAGCAAGATTCAACCACGTCAACAAAATTGAACAACTAAATTGAGGTTGTGGGAACAAACATACGTTGACACATTTTCGATAAAAAATATTTGCAAACACTTAAAAACGAAGCAAAACCAAATAAGCCGCAAAAAATTGCCGTTCGTTTAGCAATTACTAACGAATGTTGTCAATTATGAAATGACAAAATTATAACATTGCGTAACAGTTTTAGTTTTGAAATCAATAATTCGCCCAAAACTGTTCATCTGCTCTGTGTGAGTAGAGAAATTGGCAGCAGTACCAACTTACGTCAAAGAGAATTGAGTCTTATTATGTTACTCAGCAAGTATAACCTACGGGATTGATACCATCACAATATTTTACCACTGTACACCTACCTGTGGCAAAGCTCCTTTAACCAAGTTTGGTATATCTCCTGTGTTATAACCGAGTACTTTAAGTCCATTTTCGATCTTCATCATGTCCATATACTTGATAATTGTATCAGCGAGCACTTTACCGGCGTCAGCTTGCTTCACTCGTGTGATATCAGTCCCCAAAAGACTGGCTGCTTCGAGGTGTTTGTCAGGGTCACTCGGTGCTGTGAACCGAAAGACTGCAGGTGCTGTCATTACAACAGACAGGCCGTGGGGGACGATTGGTGATGCACTGTATAATAATGTTCAACAATGTATTTTATTTCATCAATAAATCTTAAATAATTAAGTACGTTTCGAATATCAGATCATCAACAAAGAGGACCAAAATAATTCAACCCATGCTATGTCATGGACTTAACAGAAAGAAATGAATCTTGTAACTGAAAATTTCTCACTAGATAATAAGTACAAAATTGTCAGTAGCGTCATCTTATTTCCCAATTTTATTTAGGGTTTGGCGCAATTTGCAGACTGTTGGGCAATTTCCTTTATAGACGGGCGCCAGCTGGACGCCACTTTTTTAATCACCTGATGTCACCTGGGTGTAAGTCACCTACTACTCAAGAATCACAAGTGCGATGCCGCACTTGCCCCCTCCCCCCCCTTCCCTAAATTATCCCCTTTAATTACTGCCGCCGTCTCCGTCTCCGTCGTCCGAAAAAATCCAGCTGTAATGACTGACTACAATATTTTCTTTCTCTATTTTAACAGAATGGTGGTCAGTCAAGGTCGTAGAGGCCCCATTATCCAAATGTGCCCACTGCCCAGATCCTCCAACAGGCTATAGACGGCCCCGGCGGCAATGAGATATCCTAAGAAATACATCGGCTCTGTTAATAACATACCCATATACATCGTTAGCAGGCTTGAAGTCCCTTACTTTTCCAGCTATGGAATAAGCGAGACCATGGCATAAATGAACTCCAGCGCTGCCTATCCCGACACCAGCCATACTCGATGCCAAGTGCATTTTGGAGCGAGCCTCAAAATCGTCTGAATTGTAAACCGCACGGCTGAAGTATTTCTTGATCGTCTAGAAGAAGACAGTAATATAAAGGTGGGCATTACTTGTCTCCAGGTAATTCCAAGAGATAGCTTAACTAATGGTAGTTGAATGGATGCAGTTGCTGGCCAATGTTTAACAGGTGTGTAACAGAATGGTATTTGTTTGAGTTTGGACATACTAGTTTACGTATAGAAAAAAAAAGCAAGTATAGTAGTCGCTAATTTAACATGACAAATATGTCCTAAGATCTCTTACATATAATCTAATATATCTAATATTTACTTCTTAACACAATGTTATATAATTATGCATACGGAATTAACGCGATCACGTAATATATATTACATACCTATAAATTATCTGAGGTTTCCTACAGGATGCACTTGGCATGTGACAACCACGGTCAGTACGGTATCATTACGGTAAAACCTATTACGAAATTGCGTTAATTCCTGTATACATACATAATTATGTATACATGATGGAATGCAAAGTTTACGAGTTGGTATTGTAGTGGAATTATTTTAACATTTTTATGTCGTTACGGTTGTATTAAGTATTTACTATTTTTGTATGCAATGACAATGTATGTTAAGAATTGAAAAAATAAACATATATGTAGGTAATTTAACATTATTCTATAATATATTACTTTAGACTAGTTATTCTATTCAGCTCAACTTTCTAAGCACTATTATTTTGCCCATACTCAGATCGAATGACTCAGTCAGACACTCTTCAGAATGAATGACGAGAACTCTATGAAATGAATTTGTAATAGCTTGGTACCTATTTTTATATAGCAGATATAGTCAAAATATAATGCAAGAGCGAGGGGGGATCTAAGTTGATTGTTTAACAGAAAGTGTCCAAGGTGTTCATGGGCGTCGGTAGCCAAGTGGATGGTAACCAGAGGGCCTATTGTAAGTTTATTTAACTACGAGCGAGCGTGTTCGACGTTGCGATTGGTAAAGATTTTAGTGCGGGCCAATCACAAAACGCGGTCACTGTGACTTCCGAATAAAATGTATGTATCATCAGCTGACCCGTCGTCTGCTTGTTTGCCCCAATACCATAAAAAAGTATTTCAAGTAGTTGTAAATCTCTCTCAAAATAAATTTCTTTGTGTTTTTCCTATCTTTCTTTCATGTTCACTCTCTCTGTTCTCTTACAAATAAACTTACGTCTAGACAGAAACGAGCCCACACGTCAGATATCGGGTTGCTGCCTTGGTAGGACGGTCTGAGCGCCGGGTTGGAAGGAGCAGGCCCTCTCTCGTTGTAAGGTATCGCAGTAAAGCTCTCCAGTGCGTGGCAGAATATGTCAAAACCTGAGTATTTGGTTACCTGTAATTAGTACGTGGTTTTAGTAATACACTATCCGAACACTACATACATAGCATACATATACGGGCTGTAACATACCATTTCGGGCATAGTAAGGGTATGTAGAGGGTCCACAATGGCAAGCGTGGGTCTGAGAGCGTCATGCGAAATTCCCGTCTTAGCGCGTAACTCTTCTAAGTCAAAAATAATAGCACCAGTCGCCTCGCTTCCTGTCCCACTTGTCGTTGGTACTAAATACAAACAACTCATTATTTTTTATTTAAAATTTATAATTCTTTCTTTTCTTCTTTTAAAAAAGACAAATCCCGCTCTAGGAATAATTATATCCTGACTACAAACATACATGAAACGGATACAAAGGACACCGAGACACAGAATCATAATTTGTAGGTCACATAAAGTGTTGTCCCATATGGGCAACGACCCCACAACATTCAGTGTAGTAGGTTGCGCTGAGGTGTCAGTTTTAACCACTACGCCTTCCGTGCAGCGCATGGGCTATATACTTACAAGCAATCATGGGCTTCATTTTCAGCTTAACAGGTTTTCCTTTGCCAATAGGTGCATTTACATAATCCAGAAAGTCAGCATCACGGTCAGAGGAATATAAATTTGCTGCCTTAAGCGTGTCCATGACTGAGCCACCGCCAACAGCAACGAAACTGTCGAAGTCATTCGCTCTCGCGAACGTTATGGCTTCTTTTAGACTAAAAACAATATTTAAATTAATGAATACAGCAAGAAGAAGATTAAGAAATTCAATATTCAAAACACATACACAGTTTATAAATCGCACATAAAAAAAAACTTTTTGGCGAAAACTGCAAAATGAAACAGTTCTCTAACAATGATTATGATAAAAAATCAGATTAACGTCTGACTCAAGGCAGACTGCACGGATAGCGTAGTGGTTTAAGTCTCGCCGCTTCCTACTGCGCTGAGTGTTGTGGATTCGATCGATCCCCGCATGGAACAACACTTTGTGTGATCCACAAATTGTTATTCTGTGTCCGGGTGTTCTCTGTATCCGTTTCAAGTCTATTTGTAAAGTCCCCCGCGACACAAGAAAATATTCCTAATGAGGGTGTTGTCTTTTTAAAAAAGAAAGAAAAGACTCATAAGTGGTTTTCTTTGTCCAGTATCCCCCCCCCCCCCCCAATGCGGGTTAAGGCCCCCGGTAAAATCACTCAGTTGGTGAAAAGCAACCTAAGAATTACTTAACACCGTTTAATTGTGAGGCCGTGGTATCACACCGGTCGATCGAGGCCATAAGTACCGAAGTCCGGCTCTCCCATCGCTCAAGTTCAAAGCCTAGGTAGTTATTTTGTAGTAAAATAAGCTGCAAGAAGCAACAATAAAAATAAGTAAGAAACATTGACTTAACTATCTAATTACAAGAATTGTTGGAGTACTTCTTTTAGACATAACATTGCCTGTGTTAAGAGACTCCGCTCTTCCAAATATAGGTAAGTATGGAGATTACCTTTAAAATTTAACAGGATATTTATATATGGTGAATACAAAAAAGAAAAAAAACTATAGCTATATGATAACGTGAAGAATACATCTGTTCCTAAGTTAGCATGATTAAGTTTAGGTGTGTGTGGGTGTGTGTGAGTGTAACTGCTACATACCTACTATCTGTGGGTTCAACCCGTACTCTGTCAAAAACTTTGTAAGTGACACCGTTCTTCGTTAGTGAATCGACTGTTGTTTTAAAAGCGGGTAATTTAACGACATTGGTGTCAGTCATCACGCACACATTTTTTGCGTTCATGTTCACTAAGTCTTGACCAACTTCGCGCGTCACACCTATCCCATATCTCAGACAGGAGTTTTTTATCTAAAATAAAACACCAAAAATGTTCTCATTACAAATAGGCATATAGACACAAAAAAAAAATCTATTAGTTCTATTGGGACAAACGAAGATCTGAGGCAAACCACATTAAAATAAAAATGAAGAGAAGGCGACTCAAGTTACAAAATGTGGATATTGCCGCATCGCTCTGCAGAGAATTAGCCAGCAATACCTCCCCAATAAAATTATTCAACCATATATGCTACACTTATGTTTATAATATTACTGAAATATTTATAAAAATTCTAAAGAACCTAATAGAAATTTTCAAGGACTACAACTTTCATGAAACTAAATCCACATCAAAGCTTTACAATGTCGTCAGATATTCTGATCATGTATTTCTTATTTTAAAGATGAGATCACATCATAAATATGAATGTATGTGAATGTTATATGATAATATTATGAATTACTTACGGTAGAATAGATAAGCATTTTGTTTGCTCTTTGATCTGATAAGTATATCTAAGCCAGGTCGTTATGTATTGTATGTGCTGATAAGTCATTAGACATTCAATTGAATAAATATAAATGTATACTGGAGACTGTGGTATGACCAGATACTAACATAAATCATAGTTAAACATTTCATAAAATGGTCGCATTTTATGACATGTATTACAATGTTTCTTCCCATAGCTACCCAGAGCCGACACTCTAGCTGTTTGAGCGCCCGCGTGCAATGCCAATGAAGCTGCCCGTTCCGTGCGGCAAACGCCCTTCCGATGCACCCATCGGATATATATAAGATTATAATTAGACGTTCTTATCTATACTTCGATGTATATAATATTCCAGACATTCTATACTAATATAATAAAAGTGAAAAGTTTTTATTTGCTTGTTTAAACGCGATTAATTCTAGAGCTACAGTCAGCTTCCAGAAATCCTTTTTTCTTTTAGATAGACAATGAATAGTGGAATGTTAACGTTATAATAGTGTTACATGCAACAACCCGCTACGGTCCCTCACTAGACACGATGTAATGTTTGTTTGCAAATGTTCAATCTTTATTGATAAAGTGACAATGGACTTGGGACTTCGGACCTACGCTCAACATTTTTAAAATGGCGACATTAAATAAGTACTACTGCTCATCCCCGGGCTCAATCACTAAATTATATATTTTACTACGCAATTGTTTACAGTTGTTAAGAACAAATGTTAAGGTGCATACATATCGGATTATTGAGAGACAGCAGCAGTGTATGTTATTATACCTACTCATGTAGATAGTATAAGAGAAATTAAATTAACAAGCTTGTTGAGTTATCTTTCGCCCTGACCTGGTTGGTGCTGATGTTTGTCTTTTGCAACATGCTTATTTAAAATTAGTACCATATGTATTATTAATATCACATTTAGGTAAAGTTCAAAGGACTAATATCCTGGTATGGTAGTTATATTTATGTTAGGAGTAATAGGAGTTCTATTGTATATCTCCGTGATTCACATTAATGGTAGAAGCTCAACTTCAGTAATAATTTGTAAAATAAAAAAGTTTGTAATTTCTTTTAAAAACAGTATTTTCAAACTTACCTCAAAGGCATAATCTTTTTGTGGAGTAGCATTTGAGAGTTGCGTGTTACCTCTGTATCCATGAGCTGGACATTGACATCTAAAGATTGGAAAAGTTATTATTAGCACTGAAGAAATTAATTTTTTATATGTATAGTCAGTTACAAGGGTGGATTTTCTTTAGCTGCGATTAATGCTGCAGCTGCTAATATAGAGTTTCGGAAGTGTTGAACGGACCGTAACAATCAATACCAAGGATGATAGACTAGCCGTAACTGATATACTTACACCTGAAATAACAATTGGATGTGTAAGGGAATGGGACACCCCCTGCGTTTATATCTCAGTCTTCAAGCAGGCAAATAAGACCTTAAAACACCATACCATTCTGGTTTTACCATAAAACCAGAAACGTAGAAGAAGAAAATTATGTAAAGAAATGTTAAGGAGCAAATGGCGTTTCATCATCAGCTACATCCTATAACAGTCAAGTTAACATAGGCCCCTCCTTAGAAAGGTGTTTTTGGCCTACTATACTACGCTGGCCAGACGGGTTATCTTAGGGTTTATTTCAAGTTTTCCTTCTCTTTGTAGTACTGTTGTGCTGCGAAGTTTGCTCCCTTAGTCGGCGCTTACAACATCCATGGAATGACTAGGGGTGGTAACACTTTGTATTCTTAATTCGTCACCGCACGGACGAAATTGCGTTTGAGTAGGTGTAACTTAGATACCTAAGTTACACCTACTCAAATGACAACATACGCCGTCGTTATAATTATATTATTTAATTAGTTTTATTTTATTAAGTTTTTAAAAAGGTCTAAATAATCAACACTTTCAATTGGTTTCTCTTTAAAGTTTGTTCATAAAAAAGTAAATTGCGTCGTTTGTCAATGTCTATGTGAATGCCAATGTTTCACTCTTCATACATGAATTTTCTGACGTAGTTTTAACAGAAACTATTGAAATCACAACAATTCCCTCTTGGTATTCCAAATATTTTCATTCTATTAACTAATAAATCTACCTCCCACCCAGACGTTGGCAAAATCATCGACATCCGATGGAGCCACTGAATTAAAAGAAGAAGAAGACGTAGTTTTAAGATGTAAAATAAATGTGTAAAATCCATAATGGCTCAAATTACTCTGATATCTATATCATCATCATCTGATATCTGTAAAAATTGTTATTTAACCAATACCTTATTTTAGATGCTATCATCTAAATATACTATACCTACTATATATGTATACTATATAATATTGAATATTCACAAGGTAAATCTAAACATGACGTAGTCTATTAACTTCTCTTTGAGAATATTTGTAGCATACAATATTATACTAAAAGTTAACATCCATATTTTAATGTCACGCGTGACGCGTCAGAATTGTCGAACTTGACAGTTTATTTTTTATGGGGCATCGGTAGCAAAAGTTTTGTTCGTATTCGGCCTAACAATATTCAAAAGTAAAAACGATGTTTTCTCAAAATTGCAGTAATTTAAAATTTCATTTAATAAATTATAATATTAGTTCTTACGAAGTCTATTCAAAAATATTTGGTTCATCGCTACTGGAATTTTTCAAGAAAAAAGAACTATTTCTGAATTACTCCTTCAAGTTTAACGAAACAAGTCAGTTCTGTGTTAGTCATAAGAGTTTCAGTTCAACATGGTAAACTTTATGCGCTGCTGGCTTGGATTTCAGAACAGACTGTTTTGCACATAACCAATTGTGTTTTGCTGATCTTGTGTTGGTAACCCCAACCCCCTCGCCCCCCCCCCCATCTTTATATTAACTAACCTAACACAGCTAGTAATATATATATATATGTTAATACGAGGAGACACTCTCATAAAGAAATATTCAAAACCTGCAAAGAAAAACTCATCAATAAATTTTTAATGATAAAACTCCGGAATACTTACGAGGCAACGTTAATTGTCCTTAACAAATCAATCACTCTTTTACGATTTCCCATTTTTAATTAAGTATAATTTGTAACTATACACTTGACCGACCTCGGTACGTTAACAGATGTATGTAAAGTAACTTATAAAAAAACAAAATATCATTATTCAATTATATCCGATATATTATCTTTATTGATACATAGCGTTATCGCGGTTACATAAATAAGTATCATATCGATGCTAACGTAGCGGAGATTGGCACAATTTCTTAATTCCAAAAATGTTGTAAATATTTTTTTTAATAAAACAATTATATATTTTGTATACGTTAAAGCCACTTCATTTATTCAGAACGTTGATGGCTACACGATCAAAATTTGTTATACCTAGCGCTTTGTTAAAAACTCACTAAACCATAATAACGTAACTGTCTGTCCCTATAATTACACAGGCCATTAAATGGTGACAACAATTTTCACCAAATTTCTACAACTTTCAACCAATCATATATAGTCTGTACAATTGTACATGTAGTCCACTACATAGTAACCAAACATCTAACAACAACACAGTAGTCTTTTTTTATCTACAGCTTTATCCCCTCTCCTTTTAAGATATAATAAGCGTACCTATTTAATATGTTGTTTTACATTATAATTAAAAATGACTTTGTTATCGGTAGAGGCCTAAGGCAAAGGCCACGATAACCGTGTTTTGTAAACAGTAAATCTTAAGTAACAAACATATTTAAAATAACGTGCAATATAATATATATCCCACCTTTAATTATATTTATACTGTAAACAGTGCAAATAAATTGTAGGAGTGGGAGTCGGGTGGATCTTGTATGCTCGTTGGGCAGGGCACAGCAGATATCAGTAACTGTAAATGTTGGTACTGCTGGTTAAATAATAATTTTATACCAGTAGTTGGTAGGTTGCAATTGTATAGGCATGGGTAACCGCTAACCACCGTGCAACATAACCTGGTGCCTATCTACATGGTAACCTTTCAAAGAACACAAAACCAACAATCACGAGTGCCCTTTGAATTCGCATCAACATGTGCTCAAGTGCCCAGTAGGCACATCAATTTCTCTCCAAACTGTAGCCGCTTGTATGTATGTTCCAAAATCTACAGAAAAATGTGGTAAGATCTCTGGTGATAATATCACCATGGCTTCATGGCGCCATGGCGTGGGGACTTGTACGAGTAATAGGGTTATGTTATCATGAGAAATAAGTATGATAATGTAAGCAAGGTCATTTGGGGCAAGTACGGCTTGATATTAATATCAACACATCAACGAACAATGTATTATTAATGTGAAAGATATGGTAGATAGTTTGAGGGAAAAATTATTTACGAATACACTTTACGAGTAAATTAAAACAACAAAAATATAAAATAAATAGTATTTTAATTTTTAAGTTACGAAAAACAGGATTAAAAATGTGTATAGTGTGAAACAGTAGACATATTAAATAAATTTAATTATAAAATAGTATATCCATCTCATTTCATCAGCAGTATCTATTACACATATAACTTACAAAACGAGTTGTTAACAAAGGCTCAAATAAAAGTGTTCGTATCAGCAAGTGTTCTTAGAACAAAACGAAACGCATTCCTCAATTAGAACCGGTATGATAGTGTAAAGTAAATAATAAAAAAGTAAGCTATGAAAACAAGAAATGTATGGGAAAAAATGCGTTGGAAAATAACTTGATAAAACTTGATTAAACAACCGCACAAGACACAGAAATACGGAATTATGTAGAAACAAATGACGTATTAAGAAAACTCATACCTGAAGCAACTAGTATCGTTAGAAATGTTTTTTGTTTACTGGCCACTAAACTACGCATCATTTTATTACAATATCTTTACAAAAACTATTCTTGACTATCGATAATTCCTTAGCTAACACAATTTCACACAATAAGCAGTCAATATCAACACATGGACGAATTACCGCCTATAGCATTCAGTAAGTACTTTGTGAACAGTAAATTAATGCAAATGAACCGCAGCATAATACGAAATAATATAGCCCATATGTTTTATTAATAGCTACATACTTATACACAATTAGGCTATTATTTGTACAGCACTAACTTGTTTAGCAAACCTACATTAACAATATTCACCGTCCGTTTCATCTTCCACTTAGTAAATAGTGAGCGAGTCTTCAAAGAGTTTCGCTAAATCCTCTTCAGACTGCTTGATCCGCGACATCGCCAATAAAGATTTCTAAAATGTATATTGTGATTATATTACAATTTCAATTAGTCTCTGGATATTTACTAGTCTTAACATTTCCAAGTGAAGGAAGGTTAGCTAAAATATGCCGCTCAGTTGTATATTGATACAACTGAGTGGCAGTAATGAATTGTGAAAATGGGTTGTAAAAAGTCGTTAAAATTAATAATTTTATAACATATAAATTTCAGGCGAATTGAACTAAACGTAAGCCAATAAATTTAAGTATAGTTATTATTACTCGAACTAACAGCCGTCAGTCGCGAAAATATGAAAATCGGCAAAAAAAACCTGGGATGGAAGATTAAGCCAATTAAATATGAACCCAAATAATTTACCTGTGGTAAAGCTCCCTTAACTAAACTAGGTATATCTTCTGTGTCATAACCGAGAGCTTTAAGTCCATTTTCGATCTTCATCGTCTCCATATACTTAATAATCGTATCAGCGAGCACTTTACCGGCGTCGGCTTGCTTCACACGTGTGATATCAAACCCCAACAAGCTGGCTGCTTCGAGGTGTTTGTCAGGGTCACTCGGTGCTGTGAACCGATATACTGCAGGTGCTGTCATCACAACAGACAGGCCGTGGGGGATGATTGGCTTTACGCTGCGTAATAGATGTGTAAATAAATCGAGAAGTCTGTAAATCGTTATTGACGTACCCGAAGGCGACTTCTTACCCAAAGACAGAATTGCTCAAATGTATAAGAAACCACCACAATGCAGAAAGTGAACGACACATTTGCTATTTAAAACCCCTGAACTGTACAAACATTCGCATAACTACAAGAAACAGTATATTTCAAATCGCAGGAAACCCATTTGCAGTTTGATTAATTGGCAAAATGTGTCTGAAATACAGGTTATATTAACACAAAGAGCATTAAAACGTTTTCTATTACATTGAGGGGAGATCTTTTAAAAATCATGTGATTCAGAATTCCATAATACTACTATGACTCTTTGGTAACTATTTTGAGGATCACCATCACAACCAAATTTTCGTAATGAATAACACATGAATTATCTTGAGTAACAAACCCATAAACATCATTTTCTGGTTTAAAGCTTTTGACTTTGCCGGCAATAGGATAAGCGAGGCCGTGGCACAGATGAACGCCAGCATTACCAAAGCCAACACCCGCCATGCTTGACGCCAAGTGCATGTTGGATCGCGCCTCGAGATCGTCCGGGTTGAATACCGCACGGCTAAAGTATTTCTTGATTGTCTAGAAAGTCATATAATATGAGAAATTAAAACACTGACTTTCACTGACTGACTGATTTTTGGATGACACCCAAAAATCTAGACGCAAAAAAGCGAAAATCAGTTCTTCAAAAACATAGATAAGAGACAGACAAACATGTTGCTAATACCCGTTCTCAAGTAGATAACTAAAACCTATTGAGGTAGTAATTTAGGAAGTAAACTCAATTGAGCGAATAAATGCTACCGAGTAAAGCAAAAAAAAAAAACAGATTTGGGTCAAATATTTTTTTGCTAAACTATTTCTGGATGGTCACAATAAGCATTTAAAAGTTCAATTATTTAGAAACTAGACTTACCTAAAGGGACAAGAGCTATTTATAAACTGTATAAGTATGTGTGCAGTCATAAGGGTGAAAAAGGCCTACCACTACTTATTTGTGTAGGGACAATAAATTAAACCATTAGACTTACTTGTAAAGCGAAACGAGCCCACACGTCAGATATTGGGTTGCTGCCTTGGTAGGACGGTCTAAGCGCCGGGTTGGAAGGAGCAGGCCCTCTTTCATTATAAGGTATCGCAGTAAAACTCTCCAGTGCGTGGCACAATATATCAAAGCCACAGTAATTTGTAACCTATTAATAGATCATTTTTGAAACTAAACAATAGGGAAAAGCTTAAATACGTAAAGGGAAATAAGGTAGCCTTATAACTTAGCATTACGTTACCTAAATAATTGTATCTAATAGACTTCTAGTCTTCGAGTCTATTCTATTCTATTTGCAACTCACGACCAAAGATAGAAAAATTGAAATAAATTATAAGTCAGTGACAATCACTATTAATTTACCTTCTCGGGCATAGTGAGAGTATGTAAAGGGTCCACGATTGCTAGCGTAGGTTTCAGCGCGTAATGAGAGATGCCCGTCTTAACCTGTAGCGGTTTATAGTCGAATACACTAACACCAGTTGTCTCGCTCCCGGCGCCACTTGTAGTTGGTACTAAATGTAACAAAAGAACTGATAAAGAACGTATAAACTAATAACATAGAATTTGTTACTAAACTTACTTGCAATCATTGGCTTCACCTTTACTTTAACGGCTTTTCCTTTGCCTATAGGCGCGTTGACATAGTCCAGGAAGTCTGCAGTGGGATCACAGGAGTACAAATTGGCTGCCTTAAGGGTATCAATGACAGAGCCACCACCAACAGCTACGAAACTATCAAAGTTGTTCGCCTTTGCAAACGATATAGCTTCCTTAAAACTAGGAACAAGCAAATTGCACGTAAGATCTCAGTTATATTAAGAAGGAAAAACTATTTCAGTGTGTAAGTACATGTACCTAGTATCTGTAGGCTCTACTCGTACTTTATCAAAAACTTTATATTTGATCCCGTTCTTGGTCAATGACTCAAGAGTGGTCTTCAAAGGCGGCAATTTGACAACATTAGGGTCAGTCATTACACACACATTTTTTGCGTTCATATTTACTAGATCTTGACCAACTTCGCGCGTCACACCTATCCCGCATCGCAGATTTGGGCATTTTATCTGAAAGTCGAGATTCTTGTTTATAGGAAATTACATTAATGTCATATTTTAGTTCAATTCCACCTTGTAATGACAGTTTCAGAAGCAAAATATTACGGTCATGAATGTGACCCCGACATAAAATTAGACTAAACTCACCTGTAGGAATACCGTCTGGTTAGTAGAACCTGCTAGTTGAGGTTAACTTAGATAGTTATTACAACTATCGCGGAGCAATAAACTAAAACATATTATAACTAAAATAAAATAGCAGACATTTTTTAAAGCAGACATGTGCAGAGGTATTCCAGATTGAATTATTTTTTACGCTAAAAATCAAAACAGTTGCGAAAAATACGTCGTCTTTTATTTATAAGAATTAAGTTAATAAAACAAAAAACCGAGGGTCTGATTTAAAAATCATTCTAGGCTGCCTTACTATATAAGATAAGCATATAATAATAGACATGACTTACTTCAAAAGCATAATCTTTAAGGGGAGCAGCGTTTGGGACCTGAAAATTACCTCTGTAGCTATGAGCTGGACATTGGCATCTAAAAAATTGAGTAGTAATAAATAGCTTTTGAGACTAAAGGGAATACAAGTATTCTGTTGTATACTTATATACATATGTTTATGAGCAGTCTAGTTACCACAACACAGGCTTTGCCTTTATGGGAATAAGATGACGAAATATAGGTATATTATAATAATATTTATCAACGGTGTCTACAACCCGGTTGACTATGTTCTCAGGGTAAATATTACTATTTGCATAAGTACATCGTAACGCTTTAAATGAAAATGATACTACTTGCTTTGATTGCACTACTGTTCCCTAGGAACACGGATCTATAAGCTTCTAGAGTACTTACGATGCAGCATTTATTGTCCTTAATACATCGAAAATTCTTTTGCGGTTTCCCATTTTATAATATTATGTTATATTGGTTTAGTTTTTTCATAAAGTACATTTATTATATTCATTGAAACTATCTTTGGCACTTCGATAAATTCTGTTGTCACTAATGTTTTTAATTTAATACGATAAAAGTCCTTTCTGCTTGACATTAAACTAAATGTCACAATGATATAAAATAGGCTTGTCCAAAAAACATTTGACAATGCTAGCTGCCACAAATCGCCCGAAACAACTCAGTATTTGGAAGATCAAAAGATCGAATTAACGGGTCATCCGCCGTACGCCATAGCCTGACTTAGCCCCTAACGACTTCTATTTATTCAAAACCGTGAAGAATAAATGACATGGTCAACGTTTTTCGAGCCGTAATGAGGCTGTTGATCCGTTCAAAATGCACGTTTTGGAGATACCATTATCAGAATGGAAAAACTACTACTGAAATTGGTTCCAACGCATGCAAAAGTGCATCGATCATCACCGTGAATATTTTGAAATGCAATAAAACTATAATAAATGCCATATGTTTGTTTCACTTTGATATTCCGGATACATAAATAGCAGCCTTCGTACATCAGATAGACACACACGAAATACCAATATTCAATTCCTAACAACACCCATTCCCATAACAAATGTCATAAAATAAATTTACAATCGCTTTTAAACTGAATTTACAAATTTAGATATTGCTTTACAATATCTGAATTGCCGTGCAGTTTTGTGACGACGTTAGAATACAAAATCCCCTTCTCTCTCTCATAAGAGTCGATTGAGTGATCATATAAGTTGGATGACATCATTGCAAAAGAAGAAAAACTCGTTTTCAAGACGTATGACGAACGTGGTAACGGTAGACCAAACTCACAAAGCACAACTGTAACACCCTTTTTTTTTCCTTGCGGAAATCCCCTCGGATACCACCATGGATATCGGTGGCATGTCGGACTCAAACCGACTAAAACCGCACGCCGTCTCGGGTACTAATAGCCGGGGAACCAGGTATACCCTAGAAAGGAAGTCCCTGGTGCCCCGACATACCTCGGGTCATCTACAGACGTGTAGACCCCCCCCCCCCCGCCGGGGTGGTGGCGAGCGCGCTTCGCAACGCGCTCGCCACCACCCCGGCAATCAGGCTATCGAGCGAGAGAACTCCCACTCCGATGGCCGCCACGAGGTCTCGCCTCTGCTCAACCCACACCGGGCACTCTGCCAGCGTGTGGAGAGCCGTGTCCACGGTCTGGCCATCGCAGTGGTGGCACTCAGGCGTTGGCTCCTTGCGGATCAGACACAGGTGATCTCCGAAACATCCCTTCCCAGTGATCACCTGCGTCAATCGGTATGAGAGGGTCCCGTGACGCCTCTCGAGCCAATCCTCCATAACGGAACTGTAACACCCTAAGTTTAAATTACACCGTATACACTCGAGGTAGAATTAGGCCACCGTTTTCCAAGATCTAAAGATAGGGGGAGGATACGGTTACCGTAAGTCAGACCACTAAATAACGTTATTATGGGAGACTTCTATGCCTACGTGGGAGTACAAGGATGCTGCGAAACGATAATCGGATATGGAGTGGAGTGTAGAAATCACAGGCGGCCATTCCTAGTCAACTTCCTTGAATCAGAGGAGTTCTCCTTTATTACTTATTTCGTTAAGAAGAACAGTCCCGATAACGTGACCAATAACGAGATTATTTTTATCATTGCGGATAATGTCTCTGCGATCAATAGGTTTATTACATCGGTTAGTGTCTCGTACAAGTCAGTGATCACAAACTTGTACGAGACACTCTAAATACCAACGTTGAACACCTTGTCCGGAGTAGATGATGTATTCTACACTCTGCTTTAGCCGTTTCAAGTATCTTTATGGTCTGAAGTTTCCACTAGAATTTTAAAATCTTTTCGCAAAGAAAACGAATGCTAAAATTGGTCCCGTTTGATTATTATCAATGTCAACACATCACGGAGAAATGTATAAATAAATAAAATTTAAGTGTCTGTTTGTAATGTCAAAATAAGAGGTTTTTTTGCTCACGCGGTTATTTGCACGATACTTATGCTTAAAAACCAGTTTTTTTGTCTGTCTGTTTGTTCCGGGTAATCTTACAGCTTGACCGATATTGATAATATTTTACTACCAGGTAGCTGTCTATACATAAGAAGTTACTTAGGCTATTTTTCCTTTCCGAAAAGCCGTTTAAAATTTTGCCCGGTCCGGGAATTGAACCCACTAAGGCAGACGGTTCACCTGATAATAAGTGACTACCACCTCTAATGGACAGCTGCAACTCAGGAGTCACAAGTACGTTGCCGTCCTTTCAGCCCTTCCCCCCAGAATAAGGGGGGGGGGTTATATATCAGGGAGTATATCAGGATTTGGGTTCACTCGGTGAAAAGCAACGAAAGAACTGCTTAACACCGTTTTTCTGAGAGGTCGCGGAATCACTCCTGTCGAGCGTAGCCCTTTTGTGTCGAAACATGGCTCTCCCACGGGATGATTATGAAGATTTCATGTGAAAGATAAGGCTCATAGTTTAAGGAAAATAAATCCTTCATGAATACACTTTACGGACAAAATAAAACAAAAACATTCAACGAATAGTATATTTATTTATTTGATTCACGACGGTTATGTACAATATGTATATATTAATTCATAAATTAGGACAAACAGTATTAAAAATATGTATAAGTAATATAAAAATAGGCATGTTAATTAAATTTCATTTTGAAATAGTATATACCTGCATCTCATTTTATCGGCACTATTTATAACATATCTAACTTACGAGTTGTTAACAGAGGCTTAAATGAAAGTGCTCATTCCCTCAAGTGTTTTTAGAACAAAACGAAACGCGTGTCTCAATTAGAATGTGCACAACAATAATTAAATGGGCCAGTGGCTATAAAAACAAGAAATGTATAATTATAAAAACTTAATAAGGGCGAATAAAAGCCTAATGGTGACAGATTTTCGCGTTAATGGTGCTAATTATGTTGTTCGAAAACTCGATAATCATCACATCATCATCATCATCAGCAGCCTGTACTAGTCCACTGCTGGACATAGGCCTCTCCTTAGAAAGGAGGTTTTAAAAAAAAAAAAACACTAAAAATCACTAAAAATTTGTTTAGTCCTGTCAAACAACGTTTCCTATTCTGAAAACGTATTTTTTTCGAGTTTTTTTTTAAGTTTTCGAACAACAGAATTAGCACCAATATCATTCATAAAAAGCAAATCATTTCCTAAAAGAAAGAGGAAGCAATATCCTGTTTTTGGTACCAGAAAATTACTATTAATTATGTGGAAACAGATGGCATATTACGAAAAAAATACCTTAATCTACTAGTGCTGTAAGAAATATTTAATTGGTTAGTGACATCGACAAATCAACTGATTACTACTTACGGTTATTGAGCAACCCTAATACGAAATGATATAGTATGTATGCTAATAGTCATATAACATGTATATTAAGTTCTAAAAAGTGTATATTAGGTTCAAGTAGGCACTTACGCTTATTTTTATACGAAACCGACATTAACAATATTCCCCGTCCGTTTTGTGTTCCATTTAGTAAATAGTAAGTGAGTTTTCCAAGAGCTTCGCTAAATCCTCTTCAGACTGCTGTAGCCGCGACATTTCTAATAAACGTTTCTAAAACATATTTTTAAAAATAAATTTTCCATTAAGTATATCCAGATGGACAAAATTAATACATCAATTACTAACTTTGGCTCTGGGCTCCCCCCGCGTGTGTGTCGGTAATCGCCATAAAAAGTAGTCTATAGCACTCAGGGATATATACATTTACCTAACAGTGAAACAATTTACAAAATTGGATCAGTAGTACCGGGGGTTAGGTACATTATTTTTTATCGTGTTTTCTTTTGGTATATACTATTTCTCGTATTCTAATCATACTACGTGAAATAAGATAAGCTAACATATTCCGCTCAATTGTATCAGTACCTAATGAACTGGATTAGAGTACATTTATTTTTACGTTTTATCATTTTATAACGTGTTTACTTGCGTTAATGAAATCTTACCTAGAAAGCAAAATACTACTAAGCTAAACGTAGGCTAATAAAATTAAGTCTTATTACTCAGACTATTCCCTAGTACATAATCAGTAATTTAACCCCTGCACCTCAGTATCAGCTGCCGTAATAGAAGAAAATACTAAAGCCTGCTTTTTTCCAAGAAAAAAGATACAATATATAAGCAAAGGCCAATTTATTGAAATCAATCAAAAATGAATAAAAATTTTTACCTGTGGTAAAGCTCCTTTAACTAAGTCCGGTATGTCCCCTGTGTCATAACCGAGAGCTTTAAGTCCATTTTCGATCTTCATCGTCTCCATATACTTAATAATCGTATCAGCGAGCACTTTACCGGCGTCGGCTTGCTTCACACGTGTGATATCAGTCCCCAACAGGCTCGCTGCTTCGAGGTGTTTGTCAGGGTCACTCGGTGCTGTGAACCGAAAGACTGCAGGTGCTGTCATCACAACAGACAAGCCGTGGGGGATGATTGGTGTTTTGCTGTGTAATAAATGTGTCAAGAAGTTAATAAAGCAATATGGACCTACAGGACAAAACCAGGACAGCACACAACATACAGAAAGAGAAATTGGCTGTACAAAAAATACCTGAAATGTGGAAATGTACTTAAAATTATATAAAACTCTTTTAAATAAATAAATATTTCAACAATTGTCAAAACACTACAAAACGTTTTAAAACGTTTTTTTTTCTGAGGTATAAGTTTGGCAGTTTTTTTCTTGTTCAATTGTGGTATTAAATTGTTAATAAAGACACCCATTACAATTCCATGATTGATTTAATAATGTTACTTATTGTATCACTGGTTTTGAAAGATTGAGGTAAACATTATTGATAGACAATACTTTCGACTGTGTACCAAAAACTGGTAACTTTAGGGCAACCTTTAAGGACTTGGTGAGTTGTAAATTTCAAAAGTCTCAACCAAATATTAA